AGGGAGGGAGGGAGGGAGGGAGGGAGGGATGGTGGATGGATGGAAGGGTGGATGGAGGCAAGACGAAATGGACAAAGGACAGGCAGGAGGGAACTGACAGGTGGGTGGAAACCAAACCCAAACTCATCACATACCAGACATATAGATGATATAATCCGTGGTCCTCCTGAGGCGCCTGCTACAAACACTACCTCCCCCTGTCTATTGGTGAATATAACAGGGCTCATAGATGACTGAGCTCTCTTGCCAGGCTTGATGAAATTCACCGGTGTCGGGGGGAGGCCGTAGATATTGTTTTGACCAGGTATCCCAAAGTCATCCATGCCATTATTGTATATTATTCCCGTTCGGTTTGAACGATATACAGCGCCGAGTCTGAAAGTTGATGATTTGAGATTATGAACAATCTTTAATTAATTTATATAACTTAGAACAGTCTTGAGTCTAGAAGATAATGGATATTATAAAATAACTGTCATAGACTGACTGCGTTTTGTTTGGTTGGGAGTGCGTCCATTATGAGAGCAAATCTCTTCATTCGTATGTCCAAAATGACGGCTCGCGCGCAGTTGTAAGGTATTTGATGTAGCCCTGAAGATGACAAATATGGTCGAAAGCTTGGCAATAAAATGAAATAATCATAAACGTATTGGATACGAAATCTTGACTCAAATGCGATCCTAGCTACAAAAATACATTTGAATTAACTTACAGATAGTTGACTGAACTCGTAACACTAACAGCGTCGCCGTTAGCAGCTAATATCGACAGATGTGACGTGCCACCGTCATTCCCTATCAACGTCTCTTCCCCGTAGTACGTGAAGTTGTGAGTTCTATTGTTCCAGATGAGGCGACGAAGAGCCTCTGCGTACGCGGGACTTGTCATGTTCTTGACGAGCTGTTGATTTGAAGGATTGCAATATTGATAGTATGTATATATAAGAATAAATGGTTTGAACCCAGATGTTGAATTTTGTTGTAAAGTGTGATCGCCCGGGTGAGTGTAGTCTTGAGAAAGACTGTTGTTGGTGGTGACTGCATGAGGTCTCGACAACCTGAGCGGAAGTCATCTTCAGAGTCTTGTGAGAAAACGTATGTATACAACTGTGCCAGCATGCACATCGTACTACTACGTAGAAAGCCGAATATAGCATCCTTTTTAAATTTAAATTTTCTCATAACTTAAATATTTTAAAGACTTGTCCCCAGCGCACTAGGGCCATGCACCCTGTTTTCAAATAACAGCCCCTAATCACTTTGACTGGATAGCAGTTGTACATAGATTCATTAGCTGTGATTGTTTCAAGAAATAACGTCAATCCTAGCCTGTATCCTGTCCGTGTCATGCTTACATCATCTCTTACATACCCGTGTTATGTTTTCAAAGTCTGGATCCCCAAGTTGTGACCGGCGGGCAAAGGCAAACTTGAAAGCCTCGACAATCTTATGGTAAGTGAGTACTGAGATGCTATCATTGGCACGATCACTGGGACTCAGATTATAACCTGAATATATAAAAATATTAATGATAAAAATAGGTTTCATTCTATCTAATTTGATTTAATGATTTCATCACAGTCATGAAGTTCACACCCAGCAAGAGGACCTTTGTCGAAGCTCCTAATCAACTCCTAAACCATGAAGGAGCAACTGATGTTCATCCTGGGAAAAGATCGTCATTTAAAACCAAAAATAATATGTCTTAATTGACGCAAAACAAAACAAATAAATAAAATAAAATAGATTAAAAAAAGTTACTAGACGAATACGGTTTAGGAGTTTATTAGGAGTTTCAAAGGTCCTTTCACTGGATGTGATATAGTCGCTCCCTCGTGGTCTCATGCTTAGTTCACATCCATTGAAAGGACCTAAATTTTTTATGATCCATGATGAATAAATAAAATAAGTAAAACATAGATAAAAGGAAACGTGATGGACAACTGTCGTCCAAGAGTTGATAAGGAGTTTCGAAGGTCCTTTCACTGGATGTGAACTAAGCATGAGACCACGAGGGAGCGAATATATCACATCCAGTGAAAGGACCTTTTTCATGATCGATAATCAATAAATCAATAATTAATGAATTCTATTTAAAGAGGGTGACATATTAACCAAAAACAATAAATAAATGAAAAATAGATAATTTACAAAAATAATAATAAATAGATAAAAAGAAATTTAAAGGAATATGGTCCAAGAGTTGATAAGGAGTTTCAAAGGTCCTTTCACTGGATTTGAACTAATGGGAGACCACGAGGGAACGACTATTTCACATCCACTGAAAGGACCTTTTTCATAATCGATAAGTTATATGTTTTGGTTAACGCAAAACGATATATAAATAAAATAAATAAAAGGGAATTTAATGCAAGAATAAAGCAAATAGGGGTATAGATGACCTACCTTTCAAGATGTTCAGAATAAGTGTAACAACAGCACCACCCGAGGGGGGTGGGACAGTGTACCATGTCAGATCCCTCAACTCATTCTTAATGGCCGCTTTTGATGTCCCCGCTTTGTAGTTTTTCAAATCCTCCTCTGTAATTATACCGCCAGCGTCTTTTATGTCTTTAGCGATATCCTTCGCTAAGGACCCGTTGTAGAAGGAATGGGGGTCCTGTTGGATCTTAGTCAGTGTTGCAGCTAGTTCGGGGTTCTTGATGATGTCGCCCTCGGATTTCAGTTCCCCATTTTCCATCAGAATATCACTTATGTGGTGAAAATGCAAACACCAAAACAGAAATAATATATATCAGAATCATTAAGATGGTAGATTTGTACTTGAAATATACGTAAAAGCAAGGTGAGCTTAAGTCAAGAGGACATGGCGGGAAAATCACCAACAACAAATCTATGTTCACTCCTAAATAGGGTAGGTTTATAATATATGAATATAAAATTCATGACCACAAGAAAAAAGAAAGAAAAAAAAAAAAAAAAGCCGGAGAAAGCTCATTAACCACAGTTAATAGAAGGGAATGGTTAGGAAACCTATTGTTATCAGGTCTTTGTTCGCTTGTGAGGTTGAACCGGTCTTGACAGTGCACAATGTTTGATTTATGCTCATTCAAAATTGCAAAATAAGTAAACATAAACTTTGTCTACGGGATTATTGTAAGGAATATTCAAATATCTCTTATAAATCTTTAAGTATTTTGAACTAGCAGCCAAAAGAAAGATTTTGGTCTGTTCACTCAGCCATTGCCAACAATGGTAAAACAAAGGATTGTGCACAGTCACGCTTGAAAAAAGTAAACAAAGACATATAACAATAAGTTTCATAACCATTCCCCTCTATTAACTATGGTCTAACAGAAAAAAGCTTGGTTAAACAAAAGATAACATGCAGAACATTGCGCATGCGTAATGCACTAGATAGAGGGGTCCTGGATACAGGTGCCATTACGTGCGCGCGTGATTATGACGTTATAATTATTCAATTACTCTTGTCTAATTGAAAAAGTTTCGGAATTCGTACGAAAACGAGAGCAAAATACTGATATAGTGTAAAGCGTTTCAAACATTGAATATGATATTTTTAGTAATCAAATTTCCTTGCTATCTTGGAAGAAGGTGAGTTTGCAACGTTCACAAGAATCTGAGTATTTTAGTCTAGAAGGAAATAAAGGAAAAGGAAGAAAAAAAAACTCATAAAAAGGGAAGCAAAAAGAGAAAACAATTGAACACAAGTAAAGAAACAAAAGAATAGAAGGAGAAAGCTAAGCGGGCAAAAGAAAGAAAACAAAAAAAAGGAAGGAGATAAAATGAATTGGACCATTAGCGAAAGACGTTTTTTGGTTGATTATTAAACTTTTAAAAAAATATTTAAAACTTTAATTGGTTTAATTAAATTTTAATTTATTTATTCAGCCGAGGAATTCCTGATCGTGAGAATAATCTATTGGATAATATTGGTGATCTTGGTGTTTTTGATAATAATACGGTAAGATCAAAACAACTGACTTGTTATTGGGTTATAAGCAGCAGCCATGTTCTGCAGGCATTGGGCAAACCAATCAAACTAGTACTTTTTTCCTTTGGATAATTCTGTCCAGTAATAATAACTGCATTGTTCCCGCAATACAATTTGTGTCGCTAAATACTAAGAGCCCCAGTTCATACGCGAATTAAGCCAATCATTCAAGACTAAAGCTAAAGTTAAATCTCTCTACTCTCCTTACAACATATAATTACGATCTTAAATAATCATGAATTCAATTTTGATTCAATGTTTAGTGTGTTGGACATAATACTCGCTTATCGCGAGATGCTCAGGAGAAGAAGATATTGTAGAGCATCATCATCGGTGCAGTGCAAGGCATTAGCACTCCCCCTACCAGACAGTGCAGGGGGTTCCTCTGTCGATGAGGACGAGGAGGATAGTGATGACGACGACGACGACGATGATGATGACGATGATGATGATGATGACGAGTGGACAAGCAATGATGAAGAATACAGTACTTCTGACGAAGAAGTCACTAACTCAAGCGATGATGATGATGAGTCTTCATGGCCTTGTAAACCAACGAAGTACTTTAAGGTTGTAAGAAACTTTCCCGACGAAAGACGGATCAGTGCACTTTTGTTTTGCGTCGGGGAAAAAGGCTCTTTAAAAGATCATCGAAGTTTTAAAGGCGTAGTTGTTCATATGGCAGCCATTTCAATAGAGAGAAATCACGAGGGTGAACTCACAACCCAATGTTGGATCAACCCCGGACATCCGAGCCTTATTCAGCCACTGGCGGCAAAATTCCTTGATTATTTCTACAAGGAATATTACGATGATTTCTGCAACAGAACTGCATCGTCTACTTCGATTATCAAGAACATCAGGCAAATGCTTCTTCCACTGCCACCTTGTGAATGTAGATCACTTGTTGACAAGGATGAAAAGAATGTTGTGGCTGTCCATGATGCTGACAAGAACGAAACGAAAGAAGAAGAAGAAGAGATGGAAGATGTCAAAGAGTGTTGTGAGAGCCAAGACGATAGTGAAGATGAAATTGCAGTCGCTGATGATGATAGCAAGCAAGAAGAAGAAGACATGGTTTATCATAGTGATGCCATAGAGTGCTGTGA